ATGTAGGATCTATAACTACTGTAACATCAAATAAGTCACTAACCTCAACTGGTTTTCCCTTGCCTTCTCCCTTTTTACCTCTACCTCTGCTAGTGGAATTACGAGTTGTATGGGATTTGCGAGGTGGTGTCATAGTGGAGGTCGCAGCGTTACCTGGTGTGTTTTGAATCTTAGTCCCTTTGAGCAATTTAGTCTATCTACCTAAAACAACATCCTGATAGGCCTTGCGTTTCAAAGACAGATTGTTAAAAACAGTGGACATGCACTCATCCAAAACTAAAGTCTTAAGGTCCAAGCGAGGTGGGCTAGAGAAGGGGCTTAACTCTTTAATACCAAGTGGGCTAGGAACGTGAGAAGCTAACTTTGGCCCAAGGGCTGAGTTCACTGAATTTTCTTGCGGCTTAGTTATGAAATAGTGGGGCCCAGCAGAAGCCTGGGGGCCAAGTGAATTAACCTCCCCTTCCCCAACCGTCGTACTCCCAATTCCTGGCCCTAAAACCAAAGCCTTAAGAGGACCCAGCTCAACAAACTGGCTAAAACTTGGAGAGAGAGGAAGAACATCCTCCTTATCCTTTATGGCCTTCAATACCCCCACGATCTCCGCTACGAATGAGGATCCTCTCCTTGCAGCTTTCGTGCTTGCGCCCGTCCTTGCAGGCCTTCGGGTCTACTTTTAGGTTGTGGCCTTCAATACCCCCACGATCGCCGCTACACCCTTAAGGGCATGTTCTGCCAACTGTTCAGTCGTACCTTGTGCTGAAATGTTTGTTGTTTTCCCAACATTTTTCACCCGCCCTATCTCACACACCGCCATAGTTGCCGTCTGTAGAGGGAGCTCTTTGGAACGATTTAGCAACGGCTGGATTCTGGCCTCCATATTATCGACTTGTTTACGGTAATGTTCCGCTGGCAGCCCTGTGCTCCGAGCTATTCCAGTGCGCAACTCTGAGCCATAGCCAGATGTAGATCCTACCTCTTTGGTTACAAATTTGCACACTCGTCTATCATGGCCTATTCGCCCACAGTCAAAACAATAGTTTGATAATTTCTCAAACATAAAATTTATCCAAGTCTCAGGAGTATTTGCCTGGTCAGGGTAGTCGTGGTGTAGCCGAAACCCTGGGGGAAGAGGCTGGGTAACATCGATTTCCACCCTGACGCGAAGAAAACTTCTGTACAATAGCAGACCCTCACAATGAGCTTCAACTCTGAGAAGTCGACCAATCCTTCTCCCAATAATCTCACCATTAGTTTTTGTCATTTTCTCCAGCGGAAGGCTATGAATCTGAACCCAGAAAGGGCTCCATTTGAACTCCATATCTGTCGCCGGTGTGCCCTTCTACAGGGGCTGTAAAATCATTAGGTTTCCCATAATGGACCATGGTGCCTCTTGTAAAACCCATCTACGGTTCTCAACATCATCAAAATGGAACAGGAATAAGTTGTCGTTCCATGGTGAAACCGAAAAAGGGGCTCTCGCCTTCCAAGCACCATGAATGATGGTTAAGACAGCTTGCTTGTTGAGTTGCTTAGGAGCTAGGATCTTTCCGATTAAACACCGATGAGACACTGCTTCACTGATTTCATCACTATCTGCAAGAGAAATCGAATCCAAACCGTGGTGGTTTTGTGACATTCCGTCCATCCCCGAGCACCCAGAGCAGAAAGAAATATGAGGAAAGAGAGAGGTGAAAAGGAGTAAGCAGCTTAGAGACAAGATACACAAGAAAGGAAATAAAACTGGAAGGAGGGGGAGTCTTCAAGAAAAGGGAAAAGGAGATTTCTAGGGCCGAAGAAAAGTCTTGAAAAGGAAGAAAATCTGGGATAAACCCAAGAAAGCTACCCTAGGGTAGAGAGCCTCGCATTTTAGAGAGAGAATGATCAGCAACAAGGCATCCTAACCACCACAATACCCACAATTAATATGCAATTTAGACGTTTCAAAAAAAAAAAATCGTATTTTAATTTATCTGATTGGCTGCTGAGAAACCCAAGGAAAATTAAATTTATAAATCATGAGTTCTTAAGAGAATTATGTGTTTGTTAAATTAATTGGTATACATTACAACAAAATTCACAGTTTTTTTTTTAATTTTATTTTCTTTCTTCCGCTCTTTGTTTTCTCATCAGCCAAACAAGTGGCAAGTGACAACCGCTTTTGTAGTGGCAATAGAATTTATATTGCCGATTACTCTATTACCTTATCGATGTAGTGGCAATGGAGGACCGCTTTTGTTCGTTGAAGGAATTGCGCGGGAAAAGCCTGCAATGAAGCACTCAGAATTAACGATGCTGTAATTATTGACCGCTTGAGGCTTGTGAAACTAATATCTGTAATCAAATTACAGAGAACAAATCATTGATTAGTTGGCAAGAAAATGAAAAGGAAAATTTTAAATTTTTGATTTCACAATTCTTGTTTAGTTGAACCCAAATATATATCCATCATAATTTTCACTGTCTTTGCTTTTCTTGGAAACCAAACAAATTATCAACTAACTTGAATAAAATAGTAATCATAGTAAATTTATCCCGTTGAACTGTGATAATGGCCTGTGCAATGTGTGGACGAGTGAAGCCCTGAATTGGTTGTGGATGTCCAAGTTTAAAGAAAGGGTAGAAGTAATCGATGAAGCATATCGCATTCAAGGATCGCATTTTCCATTCTAGAGCATTCAGTATCCGAAGCTCCATACAAGTTACACATACCTGTCATTGTTACACCTTGTTATTGAAGTTATATAAAAACAAAGGAGCATTGTCATGGCAATTTGAGTTTGCAACTTACAGTCCAAAGAAAAGCTCAATCCACGAGTTTGCATCTTTTCTCTTGGACACCAGTAAGCCCCATTTGTATCTCTATAATTGTGTGAAGTGGCATCTGAATATTGCACCACTAATTTAGTAAGAATTAATATATTTAATTGCCCAATCAACAACTCAAAATCCAAATCCCAAGCAATTTGCTCAATGGTGTAATTGGAAATGGAACTAAAATATCCTCATAAAAGTGTGGAGAAAAATGCAGCTAAATAATAGATATTCAAGAAAATTCTTTAGTTCTCTAATATTCCGGAGTTACCTCATTATGTGGAACTTCTTTCAAAGGCCTATCAGCAAAATAAGAATATAATGCTCTCAATACCGCCTACAAAAATAACAAAAAATGAAAGGAAACAACAACATTAGTTCACATATCCTGACCTCATGTCCTAATAAAAAAGAGAAGCAACGTGACATTATGCATGACCTGGTGAGATATCACCACAACAGGGGCACGCTGTCGTTCAGGCTCAATGATAACAGGCTCTAGCTTACAATTAGTAATACAGTTAATTTTACTGGAATAGTTAGAAACAAATTGATACCTTATTATTATTTATTTAAAAGTAAGACTTCACCTTTGGATTACATCCAGATAAGATTCTCCACGAGGATATCGATGCCTCAACTTGTACTTCGTACATGACCTGAAATAAATTTCACAACATTATGCTATGAAATAAAAACAGAAAGCAGGTACAAATATATACGTTTTTTAAAAAAAATTCCCAAGACCACTCTTTTCCATGTAGGGGGAGGACTGAAGAATATATTGTTAGGATCAAACACACCTAGAAAATAATCTCACACACAGAGAATACAATATTTACGTGGTTCGGCCCAATGCTTACGGCCACGGACAGAAATGAGAGTTTCACTAAAATGGAGCACAATACAAAAACAGAGGAGAAGATAAAACTCTCACTCAACTCACAGCTCTCTCTCTCAAATTTCTGATACAATACATCATTTCCCTCCCGTCTCTATTTATACACAAGGATGAGAAAGAGAGAAGGACAAACCCACCAAGACTTCCACCAGGTGGAAGTCAGAAATGGCAAGAGGAAGCTCATTCTTTCTTCATTTTTGCCTGCTCCTTGACTTGAGCCAGCCTTCATTGTTGAACTATCTAGAAGAAGAAATAAGGATCACCCCTTTCACATGGGGTGACCTCCAACATATATTTGGTGCACTAAAAATTAATATATTTCATGCAAAGATCGATGAAGCAAATGCATCAACGATCGATGATTCAACAAAAAAACATATGAATATGGAGATAGATTTTGCGGTGGTATATACATACCTTGTCGATGATAGTTACAAGAACACCTCTGAGTCTGGCCTTGTCGGCATCGTCAAAGTAACCTTGAGCAGCCATGAATTGCGATTTGTCATTGAAGAGCTTCTGGAAAGCTCGATCATTTCGTTGCTCTGATCGGTGATTCGGATCATATTCCATTTTATTCTTCGAAAGATTTGGAGTAACAGAGAACTACAAGCGTCTCAGGTAGTGTATATATATGGAGAGGGACATGGGGGAAGTCTGTTCTCTCTCTAAAAGTCTCGACTTGGTTCTCTCTCTAAGAAGCGGGTATCTAGTAGTTATTTCTTGCGGTTAGGTCGTTAGTCACAAAAGGAAGACGTTAAAGAACACGACCCCTATCTGAGATTAGTATCCATTTCTTATCTGGAGGCATTTTTGGGTGGGTTTTCTTTCCATTGGTAATAATAGAAGTGTTTCTGTTAATGATTAGTTACCAAAGTTGAAAATTGTTTTATATTTTTTACAACATACATTTTTATAATAATATATAACTTTTTAAAATTAGCCAAGTTAAATGAGCAATGTTAGTGTTATATTGAAATTGAATGATTCTAATCACCAAAAACAATAAAGAGAGATAAATTAAACACAAATAACATAAAGATATATGTGGGGGTCTACAAAAAGAAGGAAAACAAATAGACTATGCATAATAAAGCATCATAGAGCTTTGAACTTCCCAACTCAATCACTTCATAACACTATCAGACTCTCACACCAAAACTCTAGCTGAATAATATAATAAATACTTCCAAATCTCCGGCACCAAAACTTGGCCAAACGTGCTCAGCCCTCCACCTCCATAATAGGCGTCTTATGGTAAATCTGAGTGTACAGTAAAAGTAAAAGATACCTTACAACAATAGACTTTTTATTTTAATAAGATCGATAGTAATATGCTTAACAATTACAAAATAAATTCACTTCTCAACGAAAATACAGTTTACTATTCAACTTAAACACACTGAAAAAGATCAGAGAATATGAAAATCATACAAATAACCTATGAAATTTATCATTATTGCGTAGTTGTTGTTGTTGTTTTTTTTTTTTTTTTTTTTTTTTTTTTTTTTTTTTTAACTTTCTCAATCACTTGTTCACAATAAGTTTGGCTCTAGCATGTCCAGCCTCAATCCGGAACTGATCTCCCAAACCAAAATGTGCCATCAGTAACCAAACAAAAGTAATAAGCTCCCCACCTTTGCTGAGCTGCTGGGCATGACCATTTGGTCTGATATGACTCGCGGCATAGGACAACAATTCCACCCACACTTCACTCATTATCTTCCACCTGTTCTCAAATTTCAACTTGTTCAAATCCTTTGCAAGCATGCAAGCATCAAATAACAATGATTTGCTTCTATCCCCCTTCACTTTAATGGGTTTAACAACAGTATCTACCCCAAGTAACGCATCACACACTTCTTTCCCTCTTCGCTTTAATAATGAGGTACTCGATTGCCCCTTTTGAAAGAACTTTTTGGCTTCCGCACAAGTGTCCTGAAATCTGATTTGTCCTATACCCAATACTGCCGACATCATTGTGGGCCTCATCACCAGAAGATACAACATATATTCTGAGAGGATCTTACAAATTTCACGCTTATTTTTAGTATCTTCATCGCAATTTGGGCCAGTCTCTCCAGTAAAATAGCAGAGTTCAGTAGCAACATGCCACAGCAAAAGGCTTTCATCATATTCAACTTCCTCACTCACACTCGCTAAGATTTCGGCGTGAGGACACAAGTGTTGCGAGAGAACCCAATTACCCCTCGCTGAAAATATCTCCTTGGCAATTTTTGAATCTTCCGCTTTGGCAGCCTTGTCCTTCAACTGCTCAAAAATGATTTCTCTTAGTTTATCCTTCTCCACAGATTTGTATTCTTTGTATCGCAACTCATCAAGGAAATCTTTGAGTCCGATATGGTCAGCTGCTGTGTCAATCCATTTGAACCGTTTGTTCAGGCAGTAATTTATCAAACTGAGCTGCGAGACAGATTTAGACCACCGCCATTTTTTATCAAATGAAAGTCCTTTCCGGATTGCATAAACAAATTTTGTGGCCGCCTTGGAACACTTGAGCTTAATGGAATTATTAAGCTTAACCACAGTCCAGTCGGAGAAGATGAGCTTGACGTGTGCTATGAGGTCCAAGACAACAGCACCAACAAGCAGAGTGTAGGTGACAGCGATGTCAAACTGGTGGAATCCATGTTTATGAAATGATGCAAAGAGGCAAAAGGAAACCACTATCAAAACAGAGCAAATGATGCGAAAAGAGTACCCTATCTTACCATGCACTGCGCCAGTCTTAGTGAAGAGCACATCATACATGAAATTGAGCTCCACCTCCATTACACTGAAAGCATCTATCGGATTCCTTTCAAAAAAGAACTTTCGACTCACACGGCGCTCGTGGAAGCTAAACATGTGGTCAACAATGAGCCCCTTGAAAGTGTTAAAGAAATTGTACCCCTCTTTCACCACGTCAATCTCCTCGATCTTTTCAGTCTGCAAGTTTTTCTCTTCATCTGTGTTCCTGGATCCTTTCTCGGGTTCTTTTGTGATTACAATCCTAACTGGGACCTGGGCCTCTTTATTTGATGAGTATTCCTCCATGAGTTGAGCATAGTTTGGTCCAGCGTCAGGCGGTGGAAGCATAGAAGCCTTAAAATTACCCAAGCAGGCCATATATAAAGCACGTGTGCGCTCAACATACTTAACCAATCCAGCGAAAATCATGAGGACTGTCGGGATCCAAAGTTTATTAGGGATTGATTGTGAGAAGACATAAGCTACTGCAGCAAGCTGGATGAGAAGGCCAAGCAAGTGTCGAATCCAAAGCTCATTATCTTCAAGTGAGAAGGCGGTGATTGTATCCGGGCCACCAAGGTGAAGCAAAAGAAACGGAGCCCAAAAGGCAGCAAGGTCTTCGTTTAAGGGATGCACGTCACAGCCATTACCTTGGCCATTGGAGATGAGTCCAACAGCAAAGGCTGCAATCCAATCCGCAAGAAGATACGCTGCCCAGATCGTCAAGGTTACAATTCTTCCTCCTGTACGTTTTCGTGATGGTGCACGGAAAATCAACACTATCTGAAAGAAGAGACTGACAAGAACAGTTACACGGAGATTCCATTCATCCCATTTCCTCTTTAATTTGTATGGATGCCAAGCCATGATACTTTGTTCCTGTGAAGTTGATCCTGATTAGCTGTATGGGCGAAAAAAATTCTGCAGACTATTCTATCACAATACACATAACCTGAGGTACTTAAGAAATGAAAGGCAAATTATGATTTGGAGAGGGAGAGAGAGAGAATCCTTTGTAGCTAATATGGGGTTACTGCTTGGAATTGAGAATGTACAAATGCAAATGCATAAATGTATAGAACATAGGCTTTTTTTTTTTAATCGGTAAAAGTCAATTGTCAGTTGTTAGATTCCCACCCTTTGCAAAGTACCAAGTGTTTGCCCCCTTAATTCAACTCCCCCTAGGGAGAGTTGAACTCATGAGAAAAATACGTGTTGTATCAATTGAGAAGAAAGGAATACACGGTATTATAGATTGAAAATGCTCATAAATTAGGTTTTCTACATTACAAGAAAATGAGCTGGTTTTAAATACGTATTGTATCTGTATTAATCGATATGAATCGAGGTTTTGGACTTTTGATAATGATATCATATCGATACATCGGCTGATGCAGTGTTATCCAATATTATTCGATATATAACCGTATCACTGATACAGATATTGTTATTTAGAACCATGCTATTGATGTTGTTGCTTATGCCAACATCGGTAGGGCGAGGGTGACTAATTTTTTAAAATCACATTATTGTTGTGTTTGGATGGTAGATTTGTGAAGGAAAAAGAAAGTGAAAGTTAAAAATAGAAAAAGAAAATGAAGTGGAATAGGTGAATTACACAAATGATTCCTAAAGTACACTACTTATTTAATTTTGTTTCTTAATATTCAATTTGTATCAATTTTTTTTTTTTGATCGGCAAAAGGGAACTTTATTGATGAAAAAACATGAACAATACAAGTGATACACATCAATAAAAAAAGTGAGAGCAAAAACATCATAGCTAAACTTTGCAATCCCAACTATGTTGGTACCACCAAGCAAGCACAATCATATGCTAGCTCACCACCAAGTTGGTGAGTGACCAACCAAACAATACAAAACACACAAAACTAATACAATAAACCAATCACCTAACTACTCCCACCCAAACAAAATCTGACCTGTTTAAGATTGAAAACAAAATCATGCACTGTGTACTGCAATCCTACTAGACTACTCTTAGCCCAAAAAGCTATCCTTGTCTTCACAATATCCTCCAAGTCAGCAAAATTATGATGACCACCATTAAACATAAGATTCCTCAATTTCCAAATTGACTGCAGTAATACTAATGGCACAATCTTCCAAACACTCGGTTCCTTTTTCTTAAAAGAAACACCTGCCCACCATTGTAGCAAGGCTTCAATAGAACCAGGAATTACCCAACACATATCCCAACACCTCAAAATTCCAGACCAAACTCTCCATATCAGTGGGCAATGTAAGAGAACATGGTTTACATTTTCAGTTTTCCCTCTGCAAAAGACAAACAGTGTGCTAGCATTATCATCCAACACCCCAATTCTATGCAGAAAATCTGAGGTTTTCACTCTTCCCTTCCAAGCTAACCTGAGGTGCCATATTCTGCTACAGCCCTTTAGTAATACACAGATTTGGTCCCATGGCTACTTGAAACCATCTCCATACTGATGCCACTGAAAACTGCCCTGATGGATCTAAGTCCCACCTCAAGCAGTCATCCATATGCCCTCTGATTATAGGTACTACATTCAACCACTCATGCAATCTGTTAACCTCTTCCTCCTCCCAAGCTCGCAGCCCTCTTCTAAACACCAGATTCCATTCCACTGAACTCCCTCTACTCAGACTGTACTGCAACAGAGAACCCTCCTTCTCCTCTGATAGACTAAACAGTCTTGGGAACTCCTCACCGAGCCTACTATTATTACACCACTTATCAGTCCAGAAATGAATTCTTTCCCCATTCCCAACCTTTAATTTTGCATTATCCAAGTAAAAATCAAGCATTTGAGGGTAATCCTGAGCAATACTTATAATACCCTGCTCCCCCCACATTAGGCCACCACCCACCTCCAGATCTCCCATATTTGCTGCAAACTACATCCTTCCACAAGGCTTTATCTTCAACTCCATACCTCCACCACCACTTTAAAAAAACATTCATTTCACTAATACTTCTAAATTTGTATCAATTGCATCCCTATATTTCATACATTGATTCAATGTAGTCCCATCCTTAACTGTTGTGTAAAAAATATATTTAATATGCTTACCTCAGTCTCACATTTAGCATTTGTGAAATTTAACAGGGGATGAGACTATATTGAATTAAGGATGCAAATGAGACAAATTGAAGATTGGGGACCAAAATAAAATAAGTAATATACTTTAAACAGTCATGTTTGTGTAGTTTTACCCAGAAAAATAAAATGAATAGATAATTGTAAAAGTAAAATTAGAAAAATTATTTGGTTATCCATAAAATAAAATAAAAGTACTCCTTTTGTCCCAAATTGTTACCCCATCTTCATCATTAATGCCATTTAATCGAATCAATAAATAATATATTTTGATAATTTTTTTTTTTTTTTTTAACAAATTAAAAGATCTTCATTAGTTCTTATTGATAAATTCTTCAAAATTATTCAAAAATAAATAAATTAAACATACAAACAAATTTTTGAGATATCTTGAAATAGTAAAAATAGATCAACAATTTAAGAGAAAAAAGAGTATTTTATTTGGTTATCCATAAAAATAAAAAAATAAAAAAAGAAGAAAAACTAAACAGCCGGAGTAAGAAATGTACAATGAGGGATGGATTTAGGATTATCACAATGGTGCCAAAGTACGTTTGGAGGGCAAATCCTTATAATTTTTAATTATTTTAAATTTTTTAATATAATATATGATACCTTTTTAATTTGAGAGTGCGGTCGCCCCATCTACACCTTTAGGTCCATCCTTGTGCACAATCATATAACAATTATCAAAACTGTAAAAAAAAAAATTGTAAAAAGTAATGCAAGAATTACACGATAAAACAGCAGAAAAGAAAGTTGTAGAAATAACGCTTTGTTTGGGAGGTAGGGTTGGGCTATTTTAACCGCAAAAATAAAAAATAAAATAAAATTTTAATTTAATAATATAAAAAAAAAAAAAAAATTTAATTTAATAATATAAAATAACACATTATTATATACTCTTTTTATCTCAAAAAGTCAAAAAAGCCTTTTCCGAATATTTTTAACTACAGATTAAAATAGTCAAAAATCAAAAACCCAACTCACCTTCCAAACCAACCCTAATGGCGGTAATAAATCCAAGTTTCTTGGAAAGTCTTAGGGTGAGTCAGATAGATTGACTCGGAATTTATTATTTATGCGTCGAAGGATCAGTGGCGTTGCTCAGCCGAGCTTTTAGGTAACCCAATAATGCAAATTATATATGTGTGTAAATCTCAAATCATATATGTGTGTGTATATATCTCAAATCACTCATTCATCATCAAGAAAGAGACATACAAATGGAAATGGGAATCAAATTACCTTGTTCTGCTCTTCTTTCTTCTTCTCTGTCTCTCTCTCTTCTCTTTCTTCTCTCAGTCTCTCTCTGCTTCGTTGCTTTAGCGAATTCCTCTTGTAATCTCACACAGTTAGTTATATTCTGCTAGAAGTGAGTGGTAGAGAGAGAACAAGAAGGTTCTTGGCAATGGCAACTCACTGAATGAGACCCCTTTCGTCATTTCGTCTAGTCTACGCACGTCAACGTTTTTAGGTCATTTGATAATTATAAAAAAAAAGACTAAAAAATCATATGAGTGTTTTTTAAGGTTCTTAATAATAACAATTTAGAGCATAAAAGACACTTAAAAAATAGTGATGCATCATGTCTCTGAACAAGTTGGCGCGCGTTTTTAATTATTTTGTGGACCAAAATATCCTTGCCAAAATCAACACAGAAATGAAACTCATTCCGACGTCTGAGTTCCATTCCAAACATCCAGCATCTTCACAAACAGGAGAACAACAGAATTAGAGTTTCAACATCATCTGCACCATCGACATTAAAGCTTCGTTATCTTCTCAAAAAATCATTCCCATTCCTTCCTCATAAATTTCTCTGATCTAGGTTAAAACTTCGTTTTCACTGCTCATCATCATCTCAGTCCATCTTTGTCACGTCGCATCTTCATCTCGGGCCATATCAGCTCGTCATTCAAGTTTCATCCTAACTCTGGTCAGTTTTTTACAATACAACTAGATTTTCTCTGGAAACACAGTTAATAGCATTTTATAATAACCTTTCATAAATTAGGGTTTCAATTTCGTAATAAAAAGCTACCTGAATTTGGAAAAAGTTATTTCTGTGTGTTTTGAACTTATTCTTGAACATGTTTGTGTGATTTTATCTGTAAATTTCTCTAGCATTTGAATTTCTCTGATTTTTGCTTGATGTATGTTTCTTCTTTCAATTTTCTCTGGCATGTTTATTTTCACAAAAATAATTTTATGTGTTTTTATCTTATTCTTGAACATGTTTCTGTAATTTTGTCTATAAATTTCCCTGCTCTGTAAATTTCTATGTAATATGTATTTTTAATTGGAATGCCTATCTTTCTCTGGAATGTCTATTACTCTCTTGCCTCTGTCTAAGTTTCTCTGGTATTTATAATTTTCTCTGACCTGACCTGACCACATCACATCACTTTCCTCCCTTGTGTGTCTCTATCATTTTTAATTTTCTCTGGAATTTTAATATTATGGACTGGAATGAATGTTTTTTCTTTGAATTTTCTATGCCATGTGTATTTTGAGAAAAAGTTATTTCTCTGAATTTTGATCTTATTCTTGAACATGTTTCTGTGATTTTGTCTATGAATTTCTCTGCTTTGTAAATTTCTCTAGAATATGTATTTTTCTCTACAATGTCTATTTCTCTCTTGCCCCTGTCTAAGTTTCTCTGGTATTTATAATTTTCTCTGACCACATCACACCACTTTCCTCCCTTGAGTGTCTCTGTCATGGTTAATTTTCTCTGGTTGTGTATGTAAATTTCTCTTGCATTTTAATATTATGAATTGAAATTTTCTCTGGAATAGAAATTTCCTCAAGAATGTGTAATTTTCTCCGGAATGTGTATTTTTCTCTGGTATGTTTATTTTGTTCAATTCTTGGTTTCAATATGGTGTAATTCTCAGTGGCATGTTTACATTACTATGTTTATTTTATCTTGCTAATTGTGGAATGGAAATTTTCTTTCGCTTGCCATGTTTACTTTTTTCTATCATTCATTTTCTCTGGTATGTTTACTTCTATATGTAATTTTAAAAATTATTGAAAATTTCTCTCCCATGTTTATGATGCTGTGTTGATTTTCTCTGACATTTAATTTTCAATGTCCAATTTTCTCTAGCATGTCAAATTTTCTCTGGCATGTCCAATTTTCTATAATTTTCCCTTATCTGTAATTTTCTTTGGCATCTCCAATTTTCTCTTTTCTGTAATTTTCTCCCTTATCTGTAATTTTCTCTGACATGTCCAATTTTCTCTGGGATTTAATGTTGACATCTCTATGTTTTAATCATTATCTAGAAATGGCAAAACGTAAAAGCAGCGAAACACCGGAAACACTAAGCAAAAAACAGAAACTCTCTCAGTCTTCTTATGGACTAAGATAAAAAACCAGCAGCAAAACACTAGAAACACCAAGCAAGAAAGAATAACTCTCTTAGTCTTCTTATCATCTAAGATAAAAAACCAGCAGCAAAACACCACAAACTCCTCACCAAAACACACAAGTCCAAGCTGATGAAACAACTAGCATCCAGATGAGTACCCTAACTTCAAAAGACTCAAGCTCAAGGGGGAAAAAACCTGTTAAACTCCACAGAAAGAGAGCTCACTACAGCATTCAATTTCGATCCAACCTCTCATCTGTCGTCTCCTTTTTTCAAACACTTAAATTCAATTCAAAACAACTTCTAGAGCTTCAAAAGACCCCATTCTGGTATTTGATCCAAGCTCTAACCACTGGAAGGATGGATCCAAAGAAATCTAGGAAATCCGATGATGATTTAGTTGCCATAATCCAATGTTACAATGAAAAAACAAAAGCATTCACAGTTGGTAAGAAGAACCTGACATTTACAACAAATGACATGACCTTGGTTTTTGGTTTGGAATGAGGTAAAGGAACCATGCCATTAAGATACTCTGAAAAGCCAAAATCTGCATTTCTCAGAAGAAGATTCCAAAAGGACACAAGGCTCACTAGTCCCGTTCTTAAAAATGCCTTGGTCAAAGCAATGAAAGGCAAGCAACCAACTGACTTCAAAGATGTAACAATCATTGTTACATTGTACTTGTGTCTCACCCTATTTTTTTGCAACAAGTGGGAATTCAATAGGTTAGGTTTTTATAAAGTATGTGGAACCTCTTGAATCAATGAAATAGTATGATTGGCCGGAAGCAATCACATCAACATTGATTGATTCTATCATGGCATTGCACAAAACTCCAGAAAAAGTTACGGGGTGTGTCATTGCATTGCTGGTAAGTATAATATCCATTCAAATTTGCAGTTATCATACTTACAAATTTGTGCGTTTAGAAAATTTTATTTACTTTCATTTTCATCACAGTATTGGCTTGTGAACATGCAAGTATCATTGACTCGGAAGACAGTAACACAACTGACTTCCCAAGATGTGCCAAGTGGAACCTGCAAATCTTGACGAAACAGCTGCAGAAGACACCAGTCCACTCTCTTGCACCTCGGCAGGTTAGATTCCTATTGCTACTGAAATCTCAGTGAAATTCCAAAATTTCTCTGACCACTGCTTTGTTTCCCTCCTTGTGCATTGATTGATTAAGATCAATTTTCTCTGAACTATCAATTTATGTTTTCTTCTTTGGTTACCACTGGTCTATTTCTGCCATTGTAATCAATTTTCTCTGCCATCCGAATTTCTCTGACCACAATTGTAACACATTAACTTCTATGCCCTGATTGATTTTCTCTAATATCTGAATTATGTTGGTTGTTTCATAATTTTCTCTGGCCTATCAAATTTTATCTCCTTGTGTGTAATTTTCTCTGCCCATAACTTATGTGCCTTGCATCTTTGATAAACACTGTTTATTTCTACCCTTCTAATGAATTTTCTCTGGAATCCAAATTTCTCTGACACAATTGTAGTAAAACATTAACTTATATGCCTTGATTGATTTTTTCTGATATCTAAATTATGTTGCTTGTTTCATAATTTTCTCTGCCTCATAAAATCAACTCCATGTCTCTAATTTTCTCTGGCCCATACAATTTTCTCTGAAGTTTGTTTCCCATTAGTATCATTTAGATGAATTTTATTTTCCTTATTTGAATTTTTTCTCTCAGTGAATGTTGTAACATTTCTCTAATAAAAGAGTCTCCTGTTACAGATAGATAACAAGCAGCTAGTCAAAAACCCATCAGAGGAGTTCTGTCTTGGCAAAAAGACGAAGAAAGAATTAAAAAAGGCAATTGTCAAATTCAAGGAGACATTACAAGATCCATCTGAAGATGGAGGGAATGAACAAGCAGAAGGCAACATGGAAGAATACGAAGCCAGCAATAGACAAGAACATCAAGCAAACAACGGAGAAGAAGAAACCAGAGAAGAAAGTGAAGAAATAGAAGCAGAAGACAAAGAACAAAATGAACAGAAAGAAGAAGACAGTGAACAAGAAGATGAAGAAGAAGATGAACAGCAAGAAGAAAACAAGGATGAAAGTGATGAAGACAAAAATAATGAGCCGATGGACCAACAATGTGATAGCATTTGTGGCTCAACAATGCATCAGCCTGAAGAATTTGAGGAATCAAAGGATACCTAAATTGCTGATCTACATCAAAGACTGAAGGCACTTTCTCAATCTAAAAAAGAAGAAGACAGAAATTGGATTGAATTACTTGCTGAAAAGGATATTTCAATAAGAATCCTGACATCACTTAACTCAGAACTTCAAGAAAAAGAAAGCACAATCCAAATGAAACTAAGGATGTTGGAGGTTGAAAAAGCAGACAATACAAAAACAATTCAACAGTTGAGGTGGTCAAATTCAGAGTTTGAAACTGAAAATGCTAAATTGCATGAACAAGTTCAAGAACTATCCGTCCAACTAGCAACACAACCATACCGAACACCAACACAACTTCAACCACAAGGTCAGTGAAAATCTTGAGCCACAAAAAGTTATGTCCTTGTGTCAACATAACTCAGAGAAATTTCTATTTATTATAATTTTCTCTGTCATTGGTAATTTTTTCTTGAAATTATATTTCTCTGAACACATTAGTTATATTTCTACTGCTCATTTCATTTTCTCTGTATATTTTCTTATTCCATTTTTGAGGCTTGTTTGATTTTCACTGTTTATAGTTGGAATGCAAGTGGAACAACAACTAACAACCCAACAAGAACAAATGGCACACAAAGAACAACCGAAACAAAAGACAAAAGTCTATGGTAACTGCAAAATATTGAATCAAATAAATTTACATATTGAAATATTATCTGTTACTTCAGAGAAATTTCACTTTTCCTAATATTTTCACTGTCTACAGTCAAAAAAGATCCGACATCAATGATAAAAAATTTAAAGGCAAAAGAAAGGAAGGAAAAGCAGCATGATCTAGAATTCTAATATCCCAAAGTTGTGAAAGTGACTAGAGCTTCAAAACAAGCTGCAAAGCAAGTTGAGCAAAGCACGAAGGACAAAGAAGTGCTTGATGCTGACGCG